AAAAAAAAAAAAAAAAAAAAAAAAAAAAAGCCCCAACAACATCAAAACCCCAGAAAAAAAACTTCAAAGAAAAAATATTTTTCAAAGAAAGAAGCTCACTTGACGCATGTTCGGCCAGAACTGAGGTCAACATTCTTTCTGGGATCTGTGCGTGGCACTTAAAGGATGAAGGTTTTTTGCTTTTATCTTTTTTTGATGTATTCCCCCCTTAAAAGACTTCCTGGGAAAGATACTGAAGTGTCTTTGAACGCCACAAAGTTGTTGACACGATGTATTTTCTTCAGTGAAGACAAACCACAAAACAAGAAAGCAACTGGACTACTGTGGCTTAGCACACTTAATAGATCTCCACCTAGAAGGTGACAAAATGCTACAACAAGCTCAAAGGAGAGACGCTCACCTCCGGGTGGAGGATGGAACTCAACCACTGCGTTGAAAAAAAGAATAAACTTTATGGCACAAATTTTGCACTAGTATGAAATGGATATGAAATCAATGTATTGGAAGAAACAAAAAATAATATACAGGGTTTTATTGACCATATGTGTATAAACATAAACCCATATCCATAGAGAGCATGATGTCATGCTACGGCTATCAAGAGAGACTGAGTTTATTTTTGAAATGAAGTTCTGTTTACGTTTACAAGGTGATAAGGACACAATTGAAACTTACGATCATCATTTTTTCATTGCTTTTTAATGCGTTCATCATACACCACGTCACGCGCATGTTGTACTGTTCCTTCGTGGCGTGTCGGATCACTCGCTTGGACCAGCGTATGCTGACAAATTACATTTCATTTTTACATTTGAAATCATAATAGCTTTACTCACCAATTTGCCGTATCACCAATTTGCTTTCATTACATATCAAATATACCTCTTGTGCAGAACATGACTGTATGTTGATGGCGCAGATTTTGAGTTCATTCATCAGCTCTGTGTGGATGCCTATACAAGATTTATCTGAGCCCACAAGTTGATGCTTTTTTTTTATTGTCATTATTTTTCCATTCCTCCTTTTTCCGAACCAGTGTGCATCTCCCGTGCCCATTAGAGACACAAAATCAGCGGGGTTAAGATCAAACTTACTCTCGAAGAAACACTGCCTTATTAGATTCAGAAGCATGACCGGGCCACACCGGTTCCCAATGACCCATATCATTAGTACATTAACCTAGATGAAGAGCGTAGGGCTGCTGGGGTGCATATTCACTGTGATTTAAATGTCATGACCACGCTGATTCCAGTGCATGTGCTAAAATTGTAAGTGCTCCCATTTTTCCACGTGAACAACGTGATGCCTGATGTTTTCTCAATGCTGTGTTATCATATGCACTTGCACGCTACACAACGACGGCTTCGAGCATAAAATGTGCACAATGACATTGTTGTGGGCTTGCTGTCGGATATCATGTCATTTCCACGTTGATTGTATTTTTTTTAAGTCAAAACCACGTTTTGTTTCCAAATGCGTTTGGATGTGTTCTGTTGAGTCATGCTCTCAGATCGAACCATTTCGGTCCGTTGGCGGTAAAAGGGCGGTGTCGGTTTTCTCACACCGCGGATGATCCACGTCTTGCCTTTTCTCAGGCTTGCTGCAATAATGTTTCTTTGTTCAGTTGCGTTTTGTACAGTTTTGTTTCCTCACAACTGTAAAATAGTTTTGCGACTGTCGAGCTGTAAAACTGCATTCAAACCAACAATCGTGCTACTCACCATTGTCATTCGATCATGTGCTGCTGACTTGAAGTAGGTGCAAAAGATGTTTTTGTTTTAAATTCTTATTACGTAACATGTCTCCAGAATGTAGTGAATACCAGTACACACACACATATTCTGGTAGAGGAAGAAGGTTAAAGCTGAAGCAGAGTGAACGATGAAATTTATGGAAGTATTTGATATTCAGCAGATCTAAAGCCTGAAGGAAACATCAGTTTCTTAGTTTTGACACACCTTTGTGAAAAGGGGTTGGTAATGCTTAATGTATCAGTTAAGAAGAGTTTAATACTTGCATGTCTTGCCTGTTTGAAAGAGAGTCCTGATGAGGCTCCGGTTGGTCTTTGCTGAAGTTTTGTTGATGAGTGAGGACAAGGTTTGATGCAGAAGGTCATTGATGAATGGCATGTAGGTAAAATTGTTCAAATAAATGTTTTTACTGTATAAAAATGTAAATTAATTGTTTATCTACCCATAAGTATATATCTATGGTTTAAAATTTTCCAACTAATGTCAATATATACGAGCTTTTATGAAAGATTCAGCTCGTATGTGTTCTTTGACGTGAGCAAAGTCATGAACCCTAGAGAACTGTACTGCAGATTGTTAAATGACAAATATTTTGAAAAGTATTATTTGAGATAAATATTAAACTTTTTTCTAAAAGTGCTCTTTCTGTTTTTTCTTCAGTGAATTTCTTGACGTATGCTGTATCTGACTGGAAGTCTCTAGCATGGTATGCTTGTAAGTAGGGGATGTAAATATTTTGCTTGACAATTCTGTTATGATTCTATACTAAATGCAATGCATCATGAAATCAGAATTTGTAAAATATATAGGCGTGAATTCAGGTCATTTGTGACACATTTTGACACCCTACTGATAATGAATAAAAAAAAAAAATAGAGAAAATACTAACTATATATAAGCACAAAATAAAATACACTGCTGAGTAGTGATCAGCACGATGGATTGCAAAGCATTTTTACACCACTACTTGCAAAATATTTTTTGTCTTCTGACAAATTGATCTATTAACATTTTCCATTAGACATAAGGTAATACTAATGATTATTTTGAGTTTCATTTATCTGACCACATTTACTCTCACTGGATGTACGGATAGTAGCTATGGTACTGACGTCTATTTTGGATATCACATAATAGTAAAATAGGCTTAGGTCACATTTCACCCCCAAAATTACAATATTAGGAAATTATATATATATATATATATATAGGTTTGATGCAGAAGGTCACTGATGAATAGAAAGACTTCTAATTCTTCAAGAGGAAGAATCTCTGTCTGAAAAAAACTATATCTGCTGTGTTTTTAGACAGTAGTCTTTTGAAGCGTGAATAATAAAAGGAAAATCTTAAGACGGGAAGATTGGAGACATGTTTATACATTTCTCTCAGGTAGTTATATATTGAATGTATAGGATTAAAAGGGTTTATTTGTCTGTTTCAAAGTGAGAATGAAACTCTCTCAAATCCTTTGGATTGTGAAACAGTCTTATCTTGCTGATGTGTCTTTTTCAGCCATGGTAACCAGAGGCCTGGTTGTTAGCTGCTGTTTGGAGATAGTTCTTCTGGCACCTTTTTTTATTTTTGTATTTATTTTTTATTATGGGAATCATAAATAGGGAAAGATAAATAGAGAAGAAAGCAGTAGTTAATTGTCATGATATTATGTCATATATTGTTATGAACAAAAAGGTCCTTAAATACGTCAGCTTAAGCAAAATATAATTTAATATTTCTTTATTTGGATTTCACTGGGGTTCAGCCTCATACAGTGATGGGTAAATTTATGAATTGTCCAACAACTTATTTTATTTATTTACTTTTTACTTTCTTACAATTTGCTAAAATGTATTTTTATTTTTGTTTTATTGGTTTTGCTTACATTAGATTACATTTGCATTTCCTATAGTGGTAGATTGAGCACTTGCTTTCATTGTGTTATGTGTACACAAAACCTGACCCCTGAATTAGTTTACACTTCCACCCTTCATACAGTCTCCGTTTAATTGTTAGATAAGGTTCTACCTAGACACATTAGATAGGAAGGCTTTTTAAAACACTTTGGGAACACTTTAAACGGGAGTGATAGTGTCTTTAAAACAGATTTCAGTTAGTTTTAAGTGTTCCCTCTGAATTTTGCCAATGGCAAAAAAAAAGTCAGACAGTATGCATAGAAATGAGGACGACTAACATGAAAGAAACATTTTCCCATCAATTGTAGTTCAAAAAAAAAAAAGAAAAAAAAGTTGACTGGCAGATTTCTATTACTGTTTGAAAGAAGTGCACACAAGTTTCTGACATCCTGTTTTTGGCGAGCCCAGCCATCCCAAGGACTTCCTGTTGAAAAAAGAAAATAAAAACATAATAAAGTGACACATTGGCAATATTTTAAGTCATCACAGATGGAGAGTTAAAATTATGGTTGTAAAATTATGCAGCCTTCTAAGAGACCCAGGTATCCTTTGTGGAGACAATCTCAGAATGCATTGCACTGAATGTGAGAAATTATTGTTTGAAATGAATTCAATAGCACAAAATAATAAAGTTCAATCTAACTGAAATGACACGCTGCGTTTCCATGTCAGTTAGAATGTTGCCTAGAAGTAGACAGCAAGGCAGCTAGCACTAGGATTTGGAACAGAGCAAGTGTAAGAATTCATGAAAAGTTTTTGTTTTACAAAAAAAAAAAAAAAAGAATGCACACAAACTGTTGTATGCACAAACAATAATCCAAGAGCATTGCTATTGATGTAACATACATCTTATTGTTTTTTTGTCAATTCTTTGTCAGCCTGCTTTTTTTTTCTGGGATACAAAAGTCTCAGTCAATTTTGATTTCAGTATGGTACTTGCAGGAAAATTGCGTAACCTCATCCAGACACAACTTCTGCATAAACTCTTGCCCATGTGGTTACGATGACAGATACATGTGCTTTTCTATTTAAACTCCAACACATGTTGGCACACCAGTATAGAGAATCTGAGTTAATACAGTCTGACACCCTGGTTTGCCTCTCTGTCATTCATACTCTACAGCATGCAAAATTAAGCCGCACCATTTATAATTAAAAATCTTGCATAACAGCTCAGGCAAAGTGCTGCACTGAATTTATGGGTCCTTGTTTTATAAATCTACAGATGGAAAAGTGTTTGGCCCTGGGTAAGAAACATGGTGTGTGGACA